CCACTCTGATCAATGGATGCTGTGTTCTCCCTGGCTCGCCTCCATGCGTCCCCCCGTCACAGGGACTCACAGGGACCATGGTCAAGGCAGTCTCCATCTGGCCGAAGGGAAGTTCTGCCTCCACGTCTCTGACAGTATTTGAGACTCTTAAGAAGCTGTGTTTTGTCTTTTCACATCCATTGGACTCTGCCCCACCTTCTGGAAACCCTCCGTTGACCCCACGGCTCACAGAACAGAATCCAAGTTCTTCAGAGGAGTTAGTCTCCAAGTCTCTGCATGGCTTGACTTCTGCAGTACTTGAACAGGAATCTTTTTATTTTGAAATAATTTTAGGCTTGCAGAACAGTTGCAAAGACAGTATAAAGAATTCCGATTTATCCTTCACCTCAATTCTCCTAATGATAACATCTTGCACAATCATAGCACATTTGTCAAAACTAAGAAGTTAATGTTGGTACAATGATGTGTTGCTTTTACAGGAAATAAAAATGATTATGGATTTTTTTTTCATTTTTATTGTGGAACGTACCACAGAAAGAAAGGCGTGTGTGTGCAGTTTGGAGAATAATGACAAATGTTCCTTCTTTTATGAAATTTCTGTTCACGTTTTTTTGTTCATTTTCTATTGTGTTATTTATTAGTCTCTTTGATTCATAGATGTTGTTTATGTATTATGGATGCTACTCTTTGTCTAGTAATGAGAGTTGCAAACATCTTACTACAGATCGTGAACTGGTCTTTTTATTCTTTTAATGGGGTTTTTGATGAATGGAAGTTTTCAACTTGAAGGTGGCCAAACTTATCAAATATTTCCTTTATGGTTTAAATTTTTGGAATAATATGTTTAAAAGCTTTCCTCAAGGACCTATCTGTAAAGAGGCTGTCCTATATTTCATTCTAAAGCTGTAAGTTTCACCGTTTACATTTAAATCCTTAATCCATCTGGTATAGACTTTTAGTGTATGGCGTGAGTCAGGGGATCACTTCCATTTTCTTCCTTCTGAATAGCCAATTATTCCGGCACTGTTTATTTGACAGGCCATCTTTTCTTCCCAGATTGGCAACGCAGGTTGGGCTGAATATCAGCTGCTCGTCTATGCAAGAGAAAGAAAAATATTAAAGAAAAAGTGAAATGAAATAAACTGGCCTGTGACTCTTAATGTTGGCAAGTCCACACCTAGGAATTTATCCTGAAGAAATAACTGTCAATGTGAAACAATACTTAGTTGCAGGATGTTGTTTGTAAGAACCGAAAAATAAAAACCACCAACTTGTCTGTCCAACAAGAGGGGATTGTTTAAATACATTTTTGTGTATCCGTACAACG